TACAGACTAGTCCTCAGTTGTCACTTAAATGAACTCGTTGGAGACTGGAAGGCTTCTCATCACAAGACGAAAGCAAATGACATGTATAAGAGAAGCCATAGAGCGTGTTGCCAGTGGGTTCTAATGGGCTCCCTCAGACTGCCCCTGTCTGCCAATACCACTGTCCCTACATTAAACAGACTTACTTTGAGAGGGAGAGAAATGATTCGTCTCCAGGTGTCTGCTCATAGATTTGCCAATTAGAAAGAAAAGATGATGTTAATATCCTTTTTCCATTAAAAATAAATGGAGTTGGGCGCCTGGGTGGCTCAGTTGGTTAAGCGACTGCCTTCGGCTCAGGTCATGATCCTGGAGTCCCGGGATCGAGTCCCACATCGGGCTCCCTGCTCGGCAGGGAGTCTGCTTCTCCCTCTGACCCTCCTCCCTCTCATGCTCTCTGTCTCTCATTCTCTCTCTCGCAAATAAATACAATCTTAAAAAAAAATAAATTAATTAAATAAATGGAGTTATATCACTGATGATTTGGAAAAGAGAGTTAAAAAATTATTTTAATGAACTACCCTAAGACAGCCATCAGTAGCCTTTGTACTTATTTCTTTGTGGTCCTTTATTTGGGTTTTTTACAAAATTTTAATTTTATTAAGTTATGGAATGGGTATCTTCCCATCAGCCTGATGGAGAAAATGATCACACATCATTATAAAAAAGAGAATAAATGCTCTGATGCCTACCATCTAATATTGCTCACTACACACACACACACTTGGCTAACATTTTCCATGTATCAAGTCATTTACCCTTCATAACAACCCACTAGTAATTGCTTTTATATGCTGAGCCCTTCTAAAAGATTGTGCAAATGACATTCTAATTTTCTATTTTCTTTCCTTCTCTCACTCTCTTTCTCTTTCCCTACACTATACTCCATTTCACCTCTGAAAATATTTGTGGGAGCACCTGCCACCATACGTATATATGTCTGCTGAAAAATCCTGCTCAAACTTTCAGAGCCTTAAGCTCTGCGAACATACGGACCCTACTTATGATCATTCTTCTTCTTGCCGACTTGTACTGTTATAAGTTCCCAGTGAGATCCTACTTCCTTGCCCTCTAAAACATCCATCAGAAACTCTCTTGGGGCCCCATTTTCAACCGATACTACTGTCTACCTTGGGACAATCCACAACATAATCCAAATACTTTAATGAGTATTGCTAACACTTGAACCATCATTGCAATTATTGACAGCTTGATATGAATGGTTGAAATAGAATTCCATTTGCTTGCTTCATAATTATAATAATATTTCTTTCTTTTTGCTTTATCTTAATACTATAATTTGGACAATTTAACAGAGTTCCTGGCAAGCATCTGGAAGATATCAATTTGAAAGAACCAAATGCTAATTCTCTTATTATAAGAGAATAATAAAATTTTTTAAGTTGCAAAATTGTATTCATGTTGAAAAACATCCAATACACATGTCCTCTACTATAAAAATGTCTGTAATTATTAAACATAATCCATATTATAGGAGATTTACAAATTATGAATTCCACATAGAAATGTATTTTCCACCCCTCGGCACCCCTCAGCATCACCCCCAAGTAACATGCAGTTAATTCTGCCCTTGGGGTATCATTCACATTTAATTTATCACTGATCTGTTGGAAGAAAAACTGTTTCTCCTTAGGACAGGTCCAAAAATAAAAATGAGTAGTGTGCACTATGGAATGTATTCATTGTGTCCAGGATGGGAGGAAGAGATTTTTAAGAGAAGTCTTAGAGTCAACTATAGTCTGAAATCTGGAGAGAACAAAGACCATGCATTACTGGAAATGTAAAACCAAAAACGGACTACCATTTTTCACTTTCAAGAAACAAATGTCCTTCTTACTCTGTTCTGCTCACTTAGGAGAAACGAAAACATATCCCTTTTCCTTTGTCTCTTTTTCATTAACTCTCCTCAAACTTCCCCAATGGGAAGAGATACCCAGTCAACAGGGTAAGGAACAAGCCAGTAAGCATCGATTCACAAGATCTCTCTCTCTCCCTCTCATGGAGACCAAGGAAATGGGAGGGGAAGGAGCTCCTCTTTTCTTGTGTTTTTGTCCCCCCTCAAGACAAAATTATCCCCACTCCAGACTCTACTGGTTCCCAAGCTATTTGTTGATTATAAACTTCAGACCCTGTGGTCTGACAAGAGCACAAAAGTTAATTGGACCTGAGGCGTAATTTGTGATGGACAGTAGCTCCTACAACTGGAGCCCACCTTTATAGGTACATGCAGCCACCAAGCTGTGTGGTTGTACAACCTCTGATGGTGGGTTCAAGTCATCAACCCAGGGTGTTTATCCATAACACTGAGTGCCACGGACGTGGTTCAGCTGGATAGCGTTGTTCCCAAACATGGTCCCATTTTTTTTCTTTTTTTTTTAAATTTTTTATTTAAATTCAGTTTAGTTAATATATAGCATATTATTAGTTTCAGGGGTAGAGTTTAGTGATTCATCAGTTGCATGTAACACCCAGTGCTCATTTCATCAAGGGCCCTCCTTAATGCCCAACACCCAGTTACCCCATCCTCCCACCCACCACCCCCTCCAGCAACCTCAGTGTGTTTCCTAGAGTTAAGTCGATGCAATGGAATATTGCTCAGCCATCAAAAAGAATGCCATTTGCAATGATGTGGATGGAGCTGGTGGGCATTATGCTAAGCGAAATAAGTCAGTCAGAGAAAGACAAATACCATATGATTTCACTCACATGTAGAATTTAAGAAAAAAAAAAAGATGAGCATAGGGGAAGGAAAGGAAAAAGAAAATAAGATAAAAACAGAGAGGGAGCCAAACACAGTCCCATTCATACCCCAAGATGGTCTGATGGGTTTTTGCAAGGTGCCTGCAAGTTGATTCAAAGTCTGAAACTTTTTCAGCCAGAGCTTAACTGCATCTGGCTTCTTACTGTAAGTTCTAGACTTTGAAACAGCTTGCAGGCAGCTCCACAAGAACCCATCAGAGCATCCTGGGGTAAGAATGGGACTGTGTTTGAGGACCAACATGATCCTGCTGAACCACATCCATGGCACTCAGTGTTACAGATAAAAACCATGGGTTGATGACTTGAACCCAACCATCTGACATTATACAATCACATAACGTGATACTACATGTACCTACAAAAGTAGACTACCGTTATAGTAGCTACTGTCCATCAGAGCAGGCAAGGATACCAATCTGATCCCAGAGCAGAACTTCTTCTGAATTTCTTCTACACTTTTTCTACAGAAAAGCAGAAAGGGAACAGGAATATCGATCGATCCCAGGCTGGTGCTCCTCCCTGCTTGGCCACTAGCTAGATGCGAGGTGTCTAGGCCTCAATGTTTGCATCTGTAAATGACGGGGGTGCATCAAACAATTTCCCAAACCCCTTCAAGCTCTGAAGTTTTATATAAACTGCCACTGAGAATCACGTCAGTGTCTAAGATATTACAACAAGGGAAAAGAACAGGGTCCTGGTCCCCTGGATGCTTCCCCCAACAGAAAAGGCAAAACACACACGCAAAGAGGAGTCCCCTTCCCCAGTCAACTCTGTACACACGGTGCTTCTCAGGCAAGACAATAAAAGCAGCTGTTGAAGGGGATCATGAATCTTCCCTGCTCTACATCCCTAGAGGCGAAAAGCATGTTTTATAATAAACATAGCTTGTTACAGCGTAGCTCATGACGGATATTTGTTGGATTAACTTCTTGAGATCCCTAAGTGTGAAACACAAATAATACTAGTTGTGTATCTTTTGCAATCTGGAAAACAGTAAAAAAATCTCTCTTTAGGCAAGACAACATATGGGGAGCAGGGCAGATGCACCTTCCTGAAGCAGTCAGCCAAGCGGTTTCAGATATGCCTTCTCGATGGAGAAACACTTCCATTTATATCTGGACATTCCTTTTGAAGGCGAGGGATGTTCTTGGTTATCATCTTCTCCCACTCCTTATCACAGACTTACAATGAAAATGCTCATCCTTCAGGCCAAGTGAGAGATACACTCACACATACAGCACGTATTATTATAAATATGCTAATAATATTTTGCATTAACACAGAGGATGAGAGTACTTTACAGAAGATACTTCTAGCTCATTAATCCTCGGGAGAGCCATGAAATAGCTGGGGGGAAAGGGACAGTTTGCCAACTTTTCCAAATGACAGGAAACTGCACGGTTTCAGCAGTTTGCTCAGATCCGTCCAGTGAGCTTTTGCAGGGCCTGACCGAACACAGGAATGCTAACTTCAGGTTTGGACTGACTGACTCCATACCCCTCTCATAGCCAGACTGAGGCCCTCGTTTGCAGTGACTCGGTGTTGACTTCTTCCACACCTCTCATGCACCCTGGATCCTTCTAGCACCTCTGCTCAAGGCCATGGGAACCACTGCAGACAAAAGCTGAAGTGGCTGCTTGCTCATGGGCTCAGGTGGTTTTCTCCAGCTTCTCCACTCCTTTACCTTGTGCTTCACTCCTCTCAATGGGGCCATGGGCTTCAAATCTGCCTCTCGGCTGACCTTATGATGTTTACCCTCATTTATTTATTTATTTATTTATTTTAGAAACCATCTTTTTTTCTTCCCCCCCCCCCCCATTTCATCTAGATCATCTCATTCCAATCTCACGACTTCATGTTTAAACTTGAGGGCTTCTTAAAGACAGAGAGCCCCTACGACGCGGCCCCACCTCCTCCTACACTCGACCTGCCGATGCAGAGCCTTGCCTGCCACTTGGGTCTTCAGAACATCCCTGGTCATGACCCCACGGTTCTGCTTGGCCCACAGAAGAAGCTGGAACCCACAGGAAGCCACCAAATTGGTGACAGCAAGGCCTGGCTCCCTTAGGAAGGCAATAATAGCTCCCCACCAGGAAGCCAGGGTCTCCTGAATGTTTCCAGGGAAACCCTGAAGAGCCCCCTTCAGCCCGGCCAGGGTGAGGCTGTCAAGAGGACGTTACCAGGAGGGCTGTGTAGGTGTAGGGATAGTGGTAGGCCAGGTAGCAGGCATCCTCATTGTGCGGGAAAGTGACCACAAAGGTGAGGGTATAAAAACACTTCTTAGACGCTCCCCCCATGACGGCTGCACTCTGGCGATAATGATTTCTAAAAGAGAAAGGAGAAGGGAGAATGAGGGAGAGGTCCCAGATGCTATAAACCCGCCATGTTATATACTGGCAACATGTTCTTCACTTGAAACTCTATGTGGGTGAAACTTAGAAAACAGGGAAACTGCCAGGCCATGAGCCAAACCAGCAACATCTAGGCAGGTCTCTCTCTTTTTTTTTTTTTTTTGGAGGGAGACGGAGAGCACACACAAGCTGGGGTGGAGGGGCAGAAGGAGACGGGGAGAGAGAGAATCTCAAGCAAGCTCCATGCTCAGCACGGAGCCCGACACAGGGCTCGATCCCACAACCCTGAGATCAAGACCTGGACCAAAATCAAGAGTCAGACGCTTAACCAACGGAGTCACTCAGATGCCCCAAGTCCATCTGTCTCCTAATTGTGGCATATATGGCATAAGCCTTTCCTTGCTGTGTCTGAAAATGAAGCCTACAGAGTCACTGAGCTATAAAACAGACAGATATGTGAATAATTCTGTGCACCCCAAGATGCAATTGCAGACATACCCTTTATTACCCAAATGTGGGTTTCCCCAGTCCCTGCCTTTCCCCAGACCCCACAGAGTTCAGCTCTTCCTTTCCCTTCTGCCTGCCAAGTGGTTTCGTTAACAATCATTACTACTACATACTGAGTTCCAACTCGACACTTAACACGTGTCACCTTATGTTATCATTGCAACAGCCTATCGTGTGCATAAAGAAACAATAGCTTAGGAAAATTCATTTGTCAAAGGTGGCAAGGCTAGAACGTGGTCATGATGGGACTCGAACCCAGATCTGCCTGTCTGCGAAGACTTTGTTCATTCCACTGTACAATACTTGCTTCCCAAAGGAATACATTTGTCACCCCATAAGTGGTTCAGCTTCTTATAGCTTCAGAGTGCACATTTTCCTTTGTCAAAGATGAAGAACCAATTTTGATACTTCAGAGAACAGGATCAAAGTAAATTGCACCCAGAAGTACATTCCGAGCAATATTTTCCCCATACACTGCCAGTTATGCCCGCGCCTTGGCTGTTGATGCAGAGGCAGCTGTGCAGGCTTTCCTGAGAAATGTTATCATCAAGACTGCATTATGATGCAAAATACGCCCCGGACACTGAAAGATGTAATTCCACCTTTGAACATTTACAATGTTGGCTTACTTGTCCGTGGTGCTTTGGGGTTTTATTGGGGGAAAGAGTGGGGAGAGGGAAGAAATAGCAGGTAATGAATGTCTGTTCTTGCAAAATATAAAAAAAAAAAATACAGATTATTCTTTTCTGCCTTTTTGCTACCTACGTGCCACCCCCCCCCAACCAAAGCAAACCAAACAAACAAACAAAAAATCAGGCAAGCAATAAAGGAAGAAACAGAAAACAGACTGTCTTGTTTCTTGTGGTTTTGTGGGTTTTCAATATTAATAAAACTAGGAATGGCAGACCCACAAACTATGGCCTGACACATTTCTCTTGCCTCAGCTTCTGCCAACACAGCACCCTAGGGCCCTGGTCTTCGTAGGGAGAGAAGGATACCCCTAACACTGTCAGCCCCAAGTGATTCTCCCTGTCACTTTTTAGATCACATGAATAGGACCCAATTTCCTCTGTGACTCCAGCACTAGCAACTTCAAAAAGACATCTTCACCCAGGGTGCCATCTGGATCTTGATACCTAATTGGATCTCCTTTCTCCATATTTCCCCCAAAGTTCTGTACTTCTTTAAGATCTAAGGCTCTGGTTATTAGAAAGTATCGAGAAGCAGATGGTAGCTCAGAAAGCATGCAAGCCACATAGGCTCTACCTTTTATTTTCTTTCCAATTTCACTCAAAAGGCTGCCCTGCAAATGCTCATCCAGTTGAGACCTCCCTTAACAACAGGAACTGGTCAATTACATCCCTCTACACTGACAACCCATGTGACACAAAATGAGAGAGTCAAAATGGTCAAGGTGTTGACCGTCAACCAAAATGTGGAAGAGCACTTCACCTGTAAGCACACACACGGGCACACACCTGGGCACACGCCCCATAGATTCATATTCATGAAGGTAAAGGCAGATGGAAACATAACACCTAGGGCCTCTCCATCCCCAAGTTCCTCACCCACAAGGAGGGGACACAGAGCCTGCATCCTTCCTCGGGTATAAAAGATTTCCCTGAGAGCCAGGGGGGTGGTCTCCTTTGACATGAGCCATGCTTCCTGGTCCACTTCCCACTGTACCATTAAGTACACTGAAATCACATAACAGGGACATTGACCGTAAGCACATTCAGCCTTACCCCACCAGCCATCAGAGTGAGCAAGAAAGGAAGAGAAACCAAGAATGTGAAATCCCCATCCCTAGGCTCTTTCCACCATTCATATCAAACCTGGACTCCAGGGAGGGAACAGCTTCAGTGAAATGGAAAGAGAAATAAAATAAAAGGATTCTTAGTTTTGGAACTTCTGTGGACCTACGTTCTAGTGATTTAAGGGAAGTGTAAGGAATTTGAACAGCTGTTTCAGTTGTATGAAATCCACCTTCTCATAGCCCCAACACACACACACACACACACACACACACACACACACACTATAGCTTGGTGGGCAAGAATCTTGTGGGCAAGACTAAAAGCTCCTCACTGGGGCACCTGGGTGGCTGAGTCACTTAAGCATCTGCCTTCAGCTCAGGTCATGATCCCAAGGTCCTGGGATTGAGTCCTGTATCGGGCTCCCTACTCAGTGGGGAGTCTGCTTCTCCCTCTCCCCTGCTCATGCTCACTCTTTCTCTCTCTCTCTTTCTCTGTCACAAAAATAAATAAAATCTTTTAAATAAATACATACATACATACATACATACTCCTCGCTGGTAAGCCAGCCCTCCCCAGGATGGTTGTGGACTGCTGGGATTTAAAAATGAACCTCATTGATGATGAGGTTCTGCTAAAGGAGATTCCATGACAACCCTAGTCTGGGGTCGAAACTCTAGCTGAGCCTAAAGCAAATGTCAGGCTTCCCCACTGGAGTCTCCTGGGGGCCGTGCATGGGGAGCAGGAAAATCCAGATGACCCTACCAATAGCAAAAAATGCTCCTCTTCAGGGACCTCCACGCTTTCCCAAGATCACCTTCTTCAAAGTGAAATGTTCGATAAATCTCTAAAGTAAACCCTTTGCTTGTAACAATTTGATTTGTCCACAGTAAAGTTATATTCTTTTTTTTAATTTTTTTATTATGTTATGTTAATCACCATACATGACATCATTAGTTTTTGATATAGTGTTCCATGATTCATTGTTTGCGTATAACACCCAGTGCTCCATTCAATACATGCCCTCCTTAATACCCATCACCAGGCTAACCCATTGCCCCACCCCCTCCCCTCTAGAACTCTCAGTTTGTTTCTCAGAGTCCATAGTCTCTCATGGTTCGTCTCCCCCTCCGATTTCTGCCCCCCTTCATTTTTCCCTTCCTGCCATCTTTTTTTTTTAACATATAATGTATTATTTGTTTCAGAGGTACAGGTCTGTGATTCAACAGTCTTATACAATTCACAGCACTCACCATAGCACATACCCTCCCCAATGTCTATCACTCAGCCACCCCATCCCTCCCACCCCCCACCACTCCAGCAACCCTCAGTTTGTTTCCTGAGATTAAAAATTCCTCATATCAGTGAGAGCATATGATACATTTCTTTCTCTGATTGACTTAGTTATATTCTAACAACAAGTTATTTTTATTTCACCAATTATGATGTGAACATGCTGAGGGATGTTTGCAAGGCAGTAACATTCATCCTTTATATTTTAAGTGACTCCCATGTTCTTCCTTTGTACCGAAAACCCTTTCCTTCTACCTCACTCAGACAACTCCTTCTGCCTTCAAGCCTCAACCCAAGGGTTTCCTCTTCCAGCAAGCTTTCTCTGATATCTGCTCTTTTACATAGTTCTTACCACACCCTGTCTCTCCCTCATTGCTAACCCTTTATGACAGGGATTATGCTTATTGGTTTGTGTATCTGGCACAGAAGTTGGACTTAGCAGCTGTTCGATTAAAGTCTGTAGGATAAATGGACTCCAGGAGTAGTAATTAGAACACCTAAAGTATTCCACCTCTAATCCTACTGGTATATTTTTAAGGTTAAGTGTTACTGTACACACTCTACAGATGGGGAAATTGAGGATCACAGATATGATGCAACAGAAAGCACAGCAAGTAGGATCAACCCCACAAGTGTGCTGACTCCAAAACCAAGATCTCTTTTATTATATCACCTTTGTCTTGGAAATGGATAAGATGACAAGAAGTGTTTTGGCCCAATTTAGCCAGTAACAATGTGAAGTTTTGGTCTTCATAAATCAGGGCTGCTTACAAACCTAAAGTCTAAAGTAACAGAAGGAATCTAACATAAAACAGATGAGAGCTCCTAAAAATGAAATATTTCACTGATTCTTTATGTCATTGGTGCCACAAAGAAGTTTCTACTAGTTATGGATGATTGCTGACATTCACTGAACATCTACTATGCACCAGACACAGCGCTCAACTTTCCACCTGCTTGTCCTCATTTCATTATTCCATTATTGGCTCCATTTTACAGATGAGGGATCAGAGGTTGAGGCTGGAATAATCTGCCCAAAGTCACACCACTGATGACGAGTGCTGAAAGTCTGATTCAAAGAACTTTCTCTCCTTGATCTCCTCTTGGAGATGGAGAAGAAGCCTGGGTGAAAATCAAGGGCATTCTCCAATTTGCTGGATCCTAAATAGGTGATGTTGGGTCAAAGATGACCCAAGGTCGGGTAGAGCCAGCTTATCCAGTTAAAAGGCTCCCCCCTTCACTTTTCCATTCCCTGAACCATTTGTCTTAGGACCAATCTACACTTTTATAATCATAAAGCCTTCAATGAAGCAAGGAGCAAAGTACACAAATGCATAGTTATGAACTCAATCTATTTCCATTTGCACTTAAAAATACGCTGGAAAGTCATTTTCTTTTCTCCTGTGCGTGCATGAAATAAGCAAATGCCAAGATAGAGAGTGAAGTAGATAATCTTATAATGACCCGGCTCTGTTTAACAAGGGTGCATCATTTCATGTGGGTCTAATAAGGCAGAGCAGCCAAGCCACCGGGCTTCCCCAGGTCTGCAGCATTACTAATATTCCATACAACACCAAATCTTCCTCCTGAGATCCCTCAGAGGGATGCATGATGGCAGAGCTTGTGTATGACATTCATCTTCATGAGTGAGCTATTCCATCTCCTCTCATGATCTGAGATAAATGTCAGAAGAGATCAGCCGTTGTGTATTACATGACCACTCTGAGCGTGCAGCTTCCCTCCCTCTGCCCTTCAGCAGCAAAATTACTTTAGACCAGAGCCAGGAAAGGATTCGGAAAGGTGCGAGGCTGTGTACATTGTAGGAAGAAGCAGAAAGCGGGGAAGTCGATAAAGCAGGAAGTGCAAGTGTTCTTGCTTACTTTTATGAGAGGCATGGAAAAAGGAGCCTGCTCATTTATGTCCTTCCCTCCCGAGGATCCCTTTTACTTTCTGGACTACTGGTCTGCAAGGTGGGTTGGAGAGGGGGATGGGCTGGAGGAGAAGGGGTTCCAGAAGAGGGGCAAGATGGTCAACGGCACACAGGAGAAAATATCAGATTTTTCCTCAAAGGGGTATGATCTAGGTACTAAGGAAGAAATTCAGTCATCTTAAGGTTTAATATCGGGATTGACACCACTGTCCTTCTGCGGTCCAAGTCAACCTGATGTGATGCCTAATTATAAAGCAAACTACAGTAGAGCAATCTTATCCATTCTTCTCTGCTGGGTTTCCAGAGCTGGATTATGAACAACGCATTGCATTATACGTCTCTGGCTTTCATGTATCAGGAAGCTGAGCATCGATTGCCGAATGGGAAGAGCTCCACACCTCCCTCATTCTTTTGCTTTTAACTTCTGGCAAGGTAGTTAAGTTTGCGGAAGCCTACTTCAGGACTATATTTCCTAAATTAAGCTAAACCTCACAATATAGACTGTTAGTTGTTGTTGTCTAGAATCTGGGAACTTAACAGCACAATAGAAATACAACTTCTGAGTTCCTGATGATGTGCTGGAGACAGAGAAATAAGGAGGTAAAGTTCTCTCAAATTAATACACTGGAGAGAATAAAGGCAGGGGTGAAGCAAACACATCTTCTAGAGCAAATCAACTCAAAGACTGTGATGGGTATAAAGGGAGAAATAGGTTTGACAATCTAAGGTATTCTATAGTAGGAAGAGGTGTCCTGAGCTGTGGTTGAATAGAGATACACACATGTATCCTGTTGTTAAATCACATTATTAGAAATATGTTATCATAATGTGGTGAATAATTGTAAAACAAACTACGTTACAATGTAGCAATCTTATCCATCCATCTCTGTTGTGTATTCATGACTGCAATATGAAAAATGAATTACATTACACATTCATGGTTTTCATGTTACCCCTCTGTTGCTCTTTAATCACATAACAATTGTCTTGTTAATGAATCTAACAGCTACTAACATTAACTTTGGCTTTCCTGAGGCCAAGGCTGTGTTTTTGGATGTGGGGCTTCTTTCTTCCTTCTCTATTTGGCAGATGCTTAGTCCCCACAAGCCTGCTTCTTACTACCCCCCTCCCAGAGGAACAGCCTCCAGGGAGAGTTCTACTCCCCTGGGAGAGAATACTGAATGTTGTGTTTGTCCAATCTCTTACTAAGCTCCAGATCCAAGCAGGCAGCAAGCTGGGTCTTTCATATTTATTTAGGGTTACTATTTTCACAGGACACACCAAGGTTCAAAATTTAGGCTTTTGCTGTTTTTCCTTGTAGTTCTTGGCTTCCTCCACTTTGAGATGGTTTTTAGTCTAAATCTCTTTGGAATGTGAAAAGATCCTGGGAGTTTCTAGATATGGAGGCCAGAGAGAAATTGCCATATAGGTGAATGGAAAACCAACAAAATCATAATATTTTGCTATTGTTCTAAAGAATATGATGAAAATACCGCCCAGATCCATATCCTAATACATCAAGGACTGAAGATTGCCAACTCTTTTATTACAAACTGTAAGTCAGCCCAGTTCCGTGTTTTGTAGACAGTACTTATCTCTATGGTGATTTTTGCCTTTGTGTCTGATAGATAGGAAAGGTCAGGAATTGGGTTGCTCTATCAGTGTTCCTGTCCTGTCTCAAAAGCCAAAAGGCAAGAGAGTATATATTCTCTTTCTTTTTGGTATTAATAACAATCCTAAACTCTAGAATGTCTGATAATACTTTTCTTAGGGTCCTCTTGTAATATCAGAGAGAGATACACCTTGCTTTATCCAATAAAACAAGTGCTAGCCTATCAGTTTTTATAAGAAATTAGCAATGAGCTAATAATTAATTACATATGTCCTGTGTCCTGTGTCCTAACAGTTCCTGTCCTTTTTCTTTCTTATGAATGTATATTTTTTATTTTCCATCAAAAGAAAATGCACAAATGAGCAATTCATGGGTTGGGAATCCATTTCTTTTATCAAAAGATATGGATAATTTAGATTTCATTTACAACTTTACAGAATAAATTGATGAAACTGGCTACCGATCAAGGGTTGAAGATGAACTCTAGAAATGCTCCGTCTTTTTTTTTTTTTTCCAAAAAATCATCTTGCTGTGGAGGAATAGTTACTTAAGTGGACCTGTCACCTATCCACTCCCATCTACTTTTGAAAACTGGAGCACAGGATGAGTAAAAATAGGCCAGAACATCTCAGATTTTTTGTTCACTGGGATACACGGAAAGAGGTAAAGAACGGAGGCTTGTGAACTAAGCACTTGTTGCGTCTGTATAAGTTCTAACATCCAACAACAAGGTCTAAGGGTTTTAATGTGTTGATTTTCTCTGAAAATCAAAAGATTTCTTGGGTTCTACTGTGGGTGCCATTTAACATGCTTGTGCTTCTAAAGGGCAGGGCATTCGCCACTGGGACACGGACGGATGGCTGAGGTTTCTCAGATCAACACAGAAGAGCAGGAAATTGAGAAAGAATGAAAGAGCAGAGAAAAGGAAGCTAGCAACACTCTAACTTACTTATAATAACAGATTTCATAGCCCATCCGTATCCAGGTGGGTCTGCCAAGAAGAGCCTCCTTCACAGAATACACAGTTGGCTGCATCCCTGCACAGAACAAAGGCAGGATTAATCACTGGGGAGGGGCACCCTGGGTGGCTCAGTCAGTTTGGCAACGGGACCCTTAATTTCGGCTCAGGTCATGATCTCAGGGCCGTGAAATCGTGCGTCAGACTCCAAGCCAGCACCGAGCCTGCTTAAGACTCTCTTTCCCTCTCCCTCTCCCTCTGCCCCTACACCCCATATCTTAAAAAAAAAAGTATTAATCTCTGGGGAAAGAGAAAAGGGAAAGAGAGCTGTGATGGGCTGAATCATGGCCCTCCGAGAAATCCAGGTCCTAACCCCTGGAAGCTGTGAATGGTGCCTTATATGGCAAAAGAGATTTCATAGATGTAATTAAATTAAGGATTTTGAGATGGAGAGATTATCCTGGTGGGCCCTAAATGCAATCACTTATGTCCTTTTAGGAGGGAGGCAGAGGGAGGTTTGACTGCACAGGAGAAGCTATGTGACTGAAGCAGACGGAGACTGGGAGATGCTACACAGCCGGCTTTGAAGAGGGAGGAAGGGGCCATGAGCCAAGGGATGCAAGGAACACAACTCTATAAACAGCGGGAAAAAAATACCAAACAAACAGAAAATCCCTTAGATGCTCCAGTGGGCATGGCCCTTCTAGCACCTTCACTGTAGCCCAGTGAAACTGATTTTGGACTTGTAGCCACTAGAATTGTAAAAGAGTAAATCTGTCTTGTTTTAAGCCACTGAGTTTGTGACAATTTGTACAGCAGACACATGGAGCAAATACAAGACTCAGGGTTCATATTTTCTCTTTCTACACCAGCAAGAATCTATTTAGTCGGTACAAAATAGAGGCAGTACCCTGTGCTTAGACCTAGAGATATGGGAATATTTATTCCTCACTCAAAGTCACTCAATGAATTAGTATATGATCCAGCAATAGCATGCAGAATTTTCCATTTCTGGAAACATTCAAAGTCAATGTGGGCTGCCAATCACTTTGTCCCTTGAATTTCTCCTCCAAAATGGCCGCAGGTATTCAGGAGAACTTGAATTTTCCCCATATTTTCTGAGAGTGCAAATCAATGTCATCCAATTGGATTGTGCTGTTTTCCTTTCTGGGACAAATAGGTCAATATATTTGCTGTTGTGGGATTTAGGAGATGAAGAGAAGGAATAAATGAGAGGTTCTCATGGACCTCCAAAAGTTCAAGGTGGGGCAAGGGAGTCAGGAAGTAATGGAATGGCAGGCATGGTATTAACATTCCACCACAGAGTGAGGACTTCCAGCTTGCCTTCCATGATGGTAGTATGCCACAGGTTGACCACCATCTTGCCACACATGGCAACCAAAACATTCAGCCCAACTTCAAACCCTTTGGGAACCCAAACAGGGCTTACAGTAATAAGCCAATCAATCACAGAGGGGCACCATTCCTAGTGTTAGCCAGAAGATCTAGCTTCTAGAACTTGTAGAAGGTCTAGAAGATCTTGGGTGTTGGCCCAAGAGCTCATACCGTAATTAAACTGGCTGTTGGGCTTCTCACAGTTGATGATGTTGAAGCGGTAAGGGACAGCAGCTCTCATGCCGCTCACCTTGAAGTAGAACCACTGCTGGTGCTGGCTGCTATTCACGTCAGTGTTGACCAGCAAATCGTATTCCCGCCTGCAAAGTCAGACGCAAGATTGGAGGGCTACAAGTCTTTAAGGGAACGTCCAACACTGAGAAGCTACACATCTCAGGTTCCAGAGGACTGATCTAAGACCTGGGATCTCAGTGGGCTGGTAAGTTACAGTGACTGTGCTCATCTCACAAAATTGGACACACAGGACATAGAAATGTGGGGAGAGGGGAGCAGGTTCTTGGTATTAGGAGAATCAATTATACAACCACAGCCTATCTTTTTATTAAACTGTGATTTAATAAATTAATAATTAAACTCTCTGGCAGGAAAAATACAAGTGTGCTATATCCCACAGAAAATTCAATCACATCTGGTTGATGCTGCACATTACTTTTGAGGCTCAGTCTCCTTGTATGGAAAATGGAGATAATGCCTAAATTTGCAGGGCTGTCTGTAAAGATTAAGCGGTATCATACAGGTAAGCCCCCAGCAAAGCAACAAACATGAATTAGGCTAGCAATGCAGGAGTTGTGTGTTCATTTTGTCCCTAACTTAAATGCAGTAAAGTGTACAAATTTTAAGTGTACAACTCAGTGAATTTAAATAAATTCATCTGGACACTCCTGTTCGGCAATTACCCAGATAGGACATTTCCAGTGCCTCAGGAGACTCTTGCGTGTCCCCTCTCTATTACTATCTGCAAAGCTAACCAATTTTTTGAGCTGTAGCAACAAAATTAACAATGCAGTTTTGACTTCAACATTATTATCGGTATATTTTCAAAAATATGATTGCTCCATCCCCTCGGCATATTCTTTGAGTTGCTCCTCTAGAAAGGATGATGTATTTGCCCTGATCTGTTCACACCCTGCCATTCTGGACCCCTGCAAAGTGGTACAGTCAGATTTCTGGAAGGGGGAGCTTTGCAGAAGGCATATCAGAGCAGAGTAGAGCTACCTGACGGAGACCCACTGCTCACACAGTCACTCTAAGCATCTCCCTTAAACCACTGAGCCTGAGATACAGCGAATGAAGCATAGTCCACCAAGTGACGCTCATAAGGACAAATCCAGAAAGACTACAGCCCTCAAATGATCTCCTACGCCCACCATCCTCTCCAAAAATGGATCATCAAAACTCCTTGCCTATATATAGGTTTGCTTTCTGTCCTCTGACTCCATTACCCTGACCATAATTGGTTTAGGATTCTACACACTGGCCAAAGGCAGATATCTGGAAAGAGAGAGAGAGAGACCAGAACAAGGCCAGCAGGGCAGACACATCATGGACTGACCACTGTTCCCCCCCCCCCCCAGGAGACTCCTGCTTAGGTTTTCTCTCCCAGATCCCTTAAACATGGTATATAAACAGAGTAATAAAAGCAGGCACCACCACAAGATGTAGAAGCTGAGCTGGCAACAGAAAGAGAAGAAGCCTAGAAGGAATGTTAACAGAACTGCCTTTCTCTTCTTCAGCCCATGTAGCTCAACTTGGATTTGTTTTTTATGTCGGGCTTCCTTGAAATAGTTCATGTACAAAACAAACAAACGGAAAAGGATCACTGCTCACCTGCCCGCCCCCAAAAAAGAAATATTTCAAAAATGACTCCTCAGATAGATACAAAACAGGCTGACCTAGCTGAAGTTCTGTGCCCTGGCAAGGGCGAATATGCATCCCTGAAGACAGGCTCATGCTGAGTGTGCTGGGCACTATTCTAAGAGCGTGATGTGTTTTTAACTAACTCGCGTTAAAAAAATGCCTATGATGTGGGTGCCGTCACTGTCCCCATTTTCTGGGTGAGGAAAAAAAGGCATGGAGTAGAGTCAGGTAATTGCTCGAAATCTCCTGGTGAGGAAGGGGTGAGGTGGCTCCAGCATTCTGATTCCAGAGTCTGTGACCCCCACACCATTAACTGTTCTGGACTGCTGTCTTCGGGAGTTCACCCATAGAAGATGGGTGACAAATCCTGATTTTTGGCATATGACAAATAGAGTCCACACTGGTACTGAGGAAAGAATGAAACCATAGCCGTCTCTTCTGCGCCAAAAATTTTTGTTTTGTGTCCTCTCCCCCTTTTTAGTTTGTACAGACCTAGACTTTCCTTGCCTGTGAAATACTTGTCTAGTAATAAGAGCTCATTGAGAGATTCTGCCAGAGAGGCATGGCACTACGCATGCCCTTGAATCAAGAGTAACGCACCTCTCCACGGGGAGCCCAATGTTCCTGTCACCTACATTCACAGCGATGGGAGCAACAGACGTGAAGAGGTACAGGACCAGGGGACCCCATGTACCCTGCTGTGTCAACGGAACCAGCCCTGGCATCAACAGGAGTACAAACATCCCAGTCCAAGGACTCCCGCATCCGAGGATGGAGCCATTATTTGGAATACAAGTGTATTCATAACTTTCACCTCTAGTTGCCACCTTGCTGTGACATCAGCTAATGAGCCCCCTAGTGGTGTGCCCGTAAATGTTTAGCAACGGACTGAGAGGAAAACCTTCATGTGTCTTGTTTGCCCGTTCTCGGGGTATAAACTCTCCCACCGTGGCTGATTTCAAATGACTGATGTGAGACCACGGTACGGAGAATAGGGAGGAGAGAGGCACAACCTGCTACCTTCGTGGGTTTCCTTACTTACTCACGCACTTGGATGGCTTTGCGAAGATTTCCTGACTCAAACTTGGAGGAGAACCGCAAGCAGTCAGAAGCGGTGTCTTGCAACGGCCTGTAATGAAATAGGAAACATGTGAACACGTGCATTCCTGCTATTCTTGGGCATAGCCTGACATTTTTTAGAGATAAGCTTTTTCTTACAGATTCTTGAATATGAATTCTGATCGTGTTTCAGGGAGAAGGGGTGGATTACTAACATAAAGCATGATTATTCTCATGTCATTAAGAGGATATTCCATACTCCACCCCCATCTTCCATGTTCCACTGATGCTCAAGACCACCTACCAAGGCTCATCTAAACTGAAGACAACTTTATTTATAACATCACTTGGCTGGATGAGCCTCCGGACATCCTCAAATATCTTGATCCTAGAAAGGAAAATTGGAAACATTTTAAGGGTTGGCTCTCACTCCTGACCCCATCCATCCTATGGTCATCTGGGAAGGGCCTTGAGAGTCATCAGAGAATTATGAAAGAAAAATTAATAATGCCCCCCAACCTGGGGCTACAAGAGTGGAAAAAGTGCTGTCTCTCCTTCCTTTTGTTCTTTATCAAAAAATGAAACTACACTGAGCAATAGGAATGTAGGATGCACTGATGCCAGATTTTAGTTGGAAGATTCTTGACTTGAAGGGGAATTTTTTTCAAGAGCATTTAGACTAATGGACTCCAAAGGTTTTTGGTTGTGAGAGTAAGAAGGTCCTTTGCACAGAGACAATATTTGAGGGAGACTTTAGGATTGTTGACTCTTAGCATCCTCAAGGGCTTCAAGGCTTCAGTAAGCCTCTGAACTCTTGGGTCATTTCTATTCCTTGGGTTCTGTCATCTCCAGAAAACTAAGGTCAATCTTCTGAGAAACACTCATATTCAGGAAGTTTAAGTAAGAGGACAGAAGGAAGCCCAACAGATCTTTCAGATTCCCTCCTTGAATTTCTGATCCATGTTTTTTGGTGGAGTGGGAGAAAGAGAGGGGAGGTAGACAAGAGGCCTAGACTCAAGGGGAGCATGTTCTGTCAAAGGGGGAGGTGTTGCTGGGCCAGCCCCTGTGCCGTGTCTCTCAGGAACTTGAGCATAGCAGATAACCTGCAAAGGATAGGGTCAGAGATGTCAGCAGGAGCCCAAGTCTGAGCAGCTCATGGGATCCACCATTACTTTGCTGATGAAATGGAAAATAAGTTCATGAAACTTTCTGGTATGCACACTTTGCTCCATTGACTTAGCATATGCATACTCAATGTTTGTTTGTTTTCCAAGGAAAATCATTTTTCCTTGGCTTTAGCCATTTACATTTTAATCTCACTATGTTGATCCAAAGGCAAAGCTCCCTTTCCATCATTCTGGGAATAACCCACCACCCAAAGTTTCTATCCTAGAGAATGCATATTTTCCTTACAATCTTCAGTGATAGAGCAGAACTATTCTCCCAGCCAAGCCAGGTTTTATAAGGTTGGGACTGTGAGATGAGGGTACACCACCTCCTTTCGTCAACAAGAGATCAGATGCCAATTTACAGTGAATTAAAAAAGAAAGATCCCAAATAATCCACACTGTTTTTTTGGTGTTTTTTTTTTTTTTTCCTGAGAAACTTCCTTAAAGAATGATCCCAATTATTTGGAGAAACTGGGTTATCTTTCCCTGTTATGATCTGCAATGCATTCTGGGATACAGGGTTGCATTAGAACCATCGAAGGGATTCTTTTTCTGGCAACACATGCCTGTTGCTATTCCACACTTGGTTCTGACATGTCCAGGGAGGGAGGCAAGCTTCTGTGTTTGGCAAAAGCTTCCCAAAGGATCTGAACATGCTACTGCTTGATTCTCACTTTTCCTAAGATGGCAGAACTCTCTATACAAACCATTCTGCCTATTAAAATATTAAAGACAAAAAATATAGCTTCCAAATCAGCAGCACCATCACCTTTGGAGTCCACACTTCCGCTCCAGCATTGACTGAGCAGAGGGAGGTGGACGGTGACCCCAGAGGTCAGGAAATGCCATCCTCTTGAAGTCAGCTACAGATCTGGTTCTTCTGGCTTTGGCCATATAAAGAGAGGGGTCATGGAAGGGGATATGCTTGGGATGTGTCTGCAGAAGCTTATCTATTACTTCAGCAGTTTCTGTAGGCCTAGTGGAATTGGAGAAGGAGGCACTCATCATTGGGCAGGAAATCACGTCTATATCCCAAGCATCCTGTTTGAGGGAAGCTTGAATGTCAGGGATTTCTTTTCCAGAAGAATCTATCCCAAGACCATTTGATTGCATGTTTTGGTATGCGGTGTTCCCAGGGCCTTTTTTGGAGGCTGGATGCATGGCGGACCTCCCCATCTTCACCATACTCGGGAGGGAAGTCTGGACCATGTCTTCTCTTTCTTGCCCCCAGGGGCGTTGGTCCTCAGTCAAACAATGCTGCTTTGGGGAGGCTGCAGTCGGAATGTGGTAGTGCTTGGCATGCTGAGTCTCTTCAAAGTTCAAATCATCTGCAGGTTTAGACTCGAGTTCCTTCAGGTTTAAAATGGAAAAGAATATGTCAGTGTTTCCTCCCTGGTAGAAAATACAACTTGACCCCTATCCTCACTCTCTGGGCACAGAGTTAAGCATAAATTCTGTGAATTAGGAAGCTTTTTCCAAGGTCAGACAAGAAAAGGCTAAGCTTCAAGAATCAAATGAATGGTAGAATCATAGAAATTCATGTTTGGAAGGGGCATTGGGTGGGTCTAGTACAATTCTATATAGCACACAAATGCCCTCTGGAACACCCCAAAAAGTTACAGCCTGTTGAACAAACTTATTTACAGGGTTTTCATTACACCCCAAGGCAGCGCCTTTCATTTGAGGATCATTCTGTTCGTTTAAAAAAAAAAAAAAAAGTCTTCCTTACACTGAACTGAAATTTCCTTCCCTGAAACTTTTACCTATGGATCCCCTTTGGCCTTCTGGAGTAAAATAGAATATACTGCCTCCCTTCTCCATGGGATTTAGCTGGTACCTTTAGAGGTGGGCAAATTCATGATATATTAAGAGTCATAAGAAAATAATAGAGATCCAAAGTCAGGTCTAAAAGACAACAGCAATAGTAATGGGAGCAGCAACTAGCCACTACATCGCCAGGTGCAAGGTTCTCAATTTGTTTCTACTAACAAAAAACCCTGAAATCAGACTGACCACCTTCAGAAAGCCATCTAGTACAACTTGCCCACTCAATAAATCATCAAGAATTTTCAGTGCATTTTCAGGACGTGAGGACAAGTCACTTTGTCCCCCAGACAATAGGCGGCAATGTGTACAGTCCTATTTCCATCTCCGTGCCAGGTGTCCCTACTGGAGGCGCCTTGCATACATCCAGACCAGCCCCCTTTTTCACATTTTGCTTAGCCTTCTGCTTCTCTCTCAGAAAGACCCCAGAAGCAGATTGCTAATGATGAGCAGTGCTCTCCATCTGGAGAGCTCCTGCTTGGCCTCTCAGGCTCTGCAAAGAACCTATCATGCATCACCATGGAGCAGAACCAGGGCATATGCCCTACCTCAAAGCTGCAGGAGAGCTCAAGACACATCGCCTCATACTGCATCAGTTCCTCTTCGGGTCGGTCAAGACCAGGTTTGGAACTTAGCTTGTTCACATCCGTTTCCAAGTCATCATCCTACAATGGAATATCCAAATGTATATACATATACACACATATATATATGTGTGTATATATATTCACAGTCAAGACAGTCACCCTGAAAAGCAACAAGACAAGCTACTACATGTGTGATTTTTCAGAATCTTGGGACATGGTTTCCTTGCCTCCAAATTATAGTGCTAACCTACACAAAGGAGAATTTAAGATGTCGGGTTGTATTTTTTTTAAGATTTTATTTATTTATTTGACAGAGACAGAGAGACAGAGAGAGAGCGCAAGTAGGCAGAGCAGCAGGCAGAGAAAGAGGGAGAAGCAGGCTCCCCGCTGAGCAGGGAGCCCAATGCGGGGCTCAATCCCAGGACCCTGGGATCATGACCTGAGCCGAAGGCAGATGCTTAACCAACTGAGCCACCCAGGCACCCCTGGGTTGTATTTTTTTAATGAAAAGAAAGAAGGTATACAACTTTTCTCAGCATCCATCTCAGGATTTATCAGCCCCCACTGTAAATAACTAATTTATATAAAATTAGTAAAGTGTGATATGAAAGAATTCTGTGTCTTGCCACCACCATCATCAACAGAATTGTAATCACTGCACCTATTCTTCTATCCCCCTTCCCATTTAGGTCCCTCAGGCTTCTGAAAAATGTTTAATGAGCACCTACTATGAGCAGGTACCATTCTGGGCATTGAGTTAGCGATAATGGAACAGACAAAGGTCAATGTCCCTATGGAATCCGCCTTCTATCGAGAGAAGGAAGAGAGCAAACAAATGAAGAAGGTCATTTCTAACAGTGATAAATGCCATGGATATATTGAAGGGGGCAGTGGGATTTACCCTGAGGTGGGGGGTGTGGGAAGCTGTTTAGATTGTGTGAGCTGATGGGCACCTGGGTAGCTCCAGTTGGTTAAGCATCTGCCTTTGGCTCAGGTCATGATCCCAGGACCCTGGGATCAAGTCCCGCATTGGATTCCCTGCTCAGCAGGGAGTCTGCTTCTTCCTCTACCCCTCCCCCCCGACTTGTGATCTCTCTCTCTCACACACAAATAAAATCCTTAGATTGCGTGAGTTGAGACCACCTCGTGGAGGAGGTGACATTTTAACTAGAACAGAGGGGAAGAAATCACCAGCAAAACAGCTGATGATGGTTTCCAGAAAGAAGATGGTTGCAGCACAGAGAACAGGAGGAAGATGGCAGGAGTAAGCATTCGAGAAGGAGGCACTAGGCGGGGCCTTCCAGACCCGGGGAGGGGTTTGTCACCTCCCGTTGCACTTTACCCCATTAAAGATTTATGTTTACCCCGTCACTGCCAGTCTTTTCTTCATTGGGCTGAATAATCCCAGACCCTTAATATTTATTTCTAGATCATCATTTCACAATAGTTAAATGGTGAGGGTGACTTTCCTCCCAACACCTCTGTATTTTCCAAAGGTTATAAAGTCTTACACAGAAAGGACACCAAGAATCAAGCAGTCCAGTCTTTTCATCTTTCCATGTCTCTCCTGGGCCCAGTTTCCCTAATGAAGTAGGGGAGAAAAACCTACCCTGTGTATTAGTTAAGGAAAAACCTGGCAGTCCTGAAGGCCTGGACTGTTCTTCTTTAAGTCAAATGAATATGGACAATAAATGTTTATATGACTGATTGGGGCAGGGGGAGGGAAGAAAATGCAACATTCTATCCCTCTTCTGGAATTTTCCTCCAAACTTTAAATTAAAAGAAAAATTGATCTCATGAGGTTGATTTCATGGTATTTTCTGATACAGTGCGCACCAGGCCCAAACTCCTTAGCCTGGTTCTGGAGATCCCATCATTCTTGTTCTTTCCAGGTTTATCTATCAGTTCCTACTTGCCTCCACCCTCCTTGCTGCAGCTTCAGCTATGCGCCAGAGTGCTACCAATGGAAACCCATCTGGCAGGTGACTGGGAAAAGTCTCCCGACCAGCAAGTAAGGCTGTTGTGTCTGGAGTGAAGAGTGTCATGCAGCCCATGAGCTGCAGCCGAATTCATTCTAAATGTGGCTAGGTGACCTACTGAGCTTTATGGCAGGAGTTAGCTAACTATAACCTACTGTCAGTTTTTGTAAAAAATGTTTTATTGGAACACAGACACACCCATTCATTTATGCATTATCTGTGGGTAGTTTCTCGGTATAGCAGTGAAGTAAAGTAGTTGTAACAGAGACCATCTCTGGTCCCCAAAGTTTTCTATCTCAGTCTCTGAATCTCCAGGCACTCAGGTTGGTTCTCCCCTCCTTCTCTGTTTCTTATAAATACCATTTATACTTATTCAGGGATGGCCCTGTGTCTGTGTCCTCACAGCAACCCAGGTAGGATTCAACATTTAGGATTCTGGGACCCATCTAATCCAGATCATGCTTTCTGGCCCTTCTTCCTCATATTGGACCTTTCAGATATTATTGATTTTCCCCAGCCTTACACTTGAGCTCACCACCCTTTCGAAGATGATGATTTGAACTCTGGTAGGGACAACCTCCAAGTTCACTAGAACTCTTTGAAGATAAAAATCTATGCCTTGTTTGCTTTTGTATCATATTACCATCCCCAGGAAATTAGCCTACTGCCTCCCACATGGATCACGGCCAAGAAAGTACCTGCAAGAAACAAAAAACTGAAAAGGAAGGAAAAGAGGGAGCAAAGGAGAGGAGAGCTTGAAGTCACTCTGATTATCCTCCTCCTCTTCAGAGTTTGTCCAAATCAAACAGCTGTGTTCACAAAAAATAAAAAAATATATTAAAAAAAAAAAAACACAGCCAACATCTGGTCTATACTTCTTACAAGTTTCTCTTTTCTTATGTTGACACTGAGTTTTCAAAGAAAGTCACCCAAGTTTCCATTCTTAAGACTCTTTACAGACAAAAGTTCCTTTTAATCATTCTTTCTAAACAGTTGAGCCCAATTATTAACTAAGACTTTTCAAATGAAAAGGCCATCAGTTAACAGCCTGGGCTGGATCTATGACCAGAAACAAATATTCCTGGCTTCTTGCCCACATTTCTTGCAGCAAATGCTTCTGGGTTCACGAAGGAAAATCAGTTTGCTGGAACCCCAGTTCCCTTGCTCTTTTGCAACACCCCAGAATCAAGCCTTGAGTCCGATGTGCCCTGTTTCTCTGATTCACATTTACACACTGACTTCTCATCTTCTCCTTTTGGCTCGAAGGCTTTGATGAATAGCTTCCAAACCTTCACCAATTTGTTCTGTGCTTCTTTCCCAGCTGGATTTGATGCTTTGTTTGGGTTTCACTCCACCCCAACCCGCCAACATCTGCAACACGGTGGGGGAAAAGGAGAACGTCTGAACGCTCTCCATCCTGTGCAGCGTGAGTCAGGCACCAGCATGCAGCTTGTCCCTGCACATCAGATACAAGAGGCGACTGACACTCTGCATCAGACACCCAGTTACCAAAGAACAAGGAAGAGGGTAGGGGAAAGTGGCATTGATGAACGATCGCCACAGCACAGTATTATTCAGATAATTCAGCGAGTACTCAATAGGCCTGTGCTGTCAAGCCACGGCAAAGATCCAGTTTACTACTGATGACTTCAGAAATGATTCCATTTATCAACAAAACTCTGAGAACACTGGAGGGTCGATAGCAGTCTTAATCTAGAGACTGAGCAGTCTTAACCTAGAGTCTTAACGTAGAAGCTGAGCTGTAGCCTCTATGAGTCTGTGGCTACCATCTTATGATAGAGAACTCAGAACTCCAGGGAACTCTCTAGATGGGTAGGTAGGTAGGAGGGAAGGGAAGAAAAAAAGAAGGGAGGGAAGGAAAAGATGAGGTGGGTGGATGGGTCGATGGATGGATGGATGATGATAGGCAAATATACAGATGATAGATTTTTTCAAATTCAGGTTTCAGAGAAGTGTCTTTTCATACAAATGGCTAACAGACACATGAAAAAATGTCATCACCATTAGCATCAGGGAAATTCAAATCAAAACCACATTGAGATACCACCTTACACCAGTTAGAATGGCAAAAATGGACAGGGAAAGAAACAACAAATGTTGGAGAGGTTGTGGAAAAAGGGGAACCCTCTTCCACTGTTGGTGGGAATGCAAGTTGGTACAGCCACTTTGGAAAACAGTGTGGAGGTGCCTCAAAAATTTAAAAATAGAGCTACCCTATGACCCAGCAATTGCACTATTGGGAATTTACCCCAAAGACACAGAAGTAGTGAAAAGAAGGGCCATATGCACCCCAATGTTCATAGCAGCAATGTCTGCAATAGCCAAACTATGGAAAGAGCTGAGATGCCCTTCAACAGATGAATGGATAAAGAAGATGTGGTCCAGGGTGCCTGGGTGGCTCAGTCATTAAGTGTCTGCCTTCGGCTCAGGTCATGATCCCAGGGTCCTGGGATCGAGTCCCGCATCGGGCTCCCTGCTCCGTGGGAAGCCTGCTACTCCCTCTCACACTCCCCCTACCTTGTGTTCCCTCTCTCACTGTGTCTCTCTCTGTCAAATGAATAAATAAAATCTTTAAAAAAAAAAAAAAGATGTAGTCCATATATACAATGGAATATTACTCAGCCATCAGAAAGGATGAATATCCAACTTTTACATCAACATGGATGGGACAGGAGGAGATTATGCTAAGTGAAATAAGTCAAGCAGAGAAAGTCAATTATCATATGGTTTCACTTATTTGTGGAACATAAGGAATAGCATGGAGGACATTAGGAGAAGGAAAGGAAAAATGAAGGGGGGGTAATTGGAGGGAGAGATGAACCATGAGAGACTACGGACTCTGAGAAACAAACAGGGTTTTAGAGGGGAGGGGGGAGGGAGTGGGGCTGTCACTCACATTTACACACAGACTTCTCATCTTCTCCTTTTGGCTCAAAGGCATTGATGAATAGTTTCCAAGCCCTCACCAATTTGTTCTGTGCTTCTGTTCATGCCTCTTGTATCTGATGTGCAGGGACAAGCTGCATTCGTTAGCCCGGTGATGGATATTAAGGAGGGCACGTACTGCATGGAGCACTG